ACCAACCGTCCCTACATCATCAGCAGTTCAACGCGGCCCAGCAGCTACACCCCCTTCATCCCCATCATCTGCCGCCGCCACACGGCCAATACGGTACGCCGCCGACGCGTCATACCACCATGGATCTCGAGGTGAATCTTTGCTTCCGCAACATGTAAATACATATTGACTTTTATCGTTTGTGCTCTCGTTTACACTTTTTTCGAGTCTTTTCTTCCCCTTTACGTTCCCCTCGAACACACCCACCTTCCCGTGGATGCTTTCCTTTTGGGATCGCTGACGATTCACCCAGAGTCTTCTCCAATTTTTTTTCTATGTTTCTCTGATATTTTTCATCTCTCCGACTCGATCGACGCGCAGGGGCTACGAAGATTGCCGATGTTCCGAGAAATTTTCACGCAACGGAGTAGTTTGAATTTGGCCAAAGAAAGTTTACTTACATCGACGCTTCTTTGTTTTATTTCTACGCCATTTTGTTTATCACGATATTTGCGGGAGTAATTGTTTATACAAAATAGCCAGATTTTTTAGCAGCGAAGGTGTTACACGGGCGTTTGTGTATCTCCGCTTTACGCTTCTTTTCGATGCTCGATAGAAATTAGCGGTTCGCGTGCTACGATTACGTAAGCGACGATCTTGTGCAAAGTATCTGGCCAACAACTTTAGCGGATATATTCCGAGGTCAAGAGCCGAGCGTAACGAAGGGAAGAGGTTAATTAAGCTTCGTATCCACCTACGCCGTCCTCGTTTCTCGTCTCGCGTTGCCCCGATTGTGTTCGACGTTCAAACAGCATGTACATATACACACAGGCCGAGTTTCGTTTATTTTCGACCGTGCCCTTTTCGCGCTTTTGTTTGTCCTGGTTCGAACCGGAGTCGGGCGAGGGAAAACGAGAAGAAAGAGGAAAAAAAAAGAAGAAGAAAATAAAACGAGTTCGGGGAAACAGAACAGCCGGCAGTCGTTAGCCCCTTCGAGTCGTCTATGTCCTTAATCGTTTACACACCACCTTGGTCTTGGTGGCGTACACGTGGCACCTAATCGTTTCACGTTGTCGTGCACCGTCATGTCTTCCTGCTCGTATCTTTCCCACGATATTTTCGATTTTTACTCACCTTCGATCCCTTTTTATCCGTCCACTCGAACCGCGTCGCTCACTTCGTCTTTGAAAACGACGTGAAACGATCTGCAACTTTGTGAAACGTCTTCGAACGAAGACGAAAAGAGCGCATGGGAAATGTTGGCGATCGTGAGAGATTTTTACAGGACCAGTTGCGTGCAGCCTGGAAACTCAAGCAACGACCAACGACAGACGATCGATCGATCGCGATCGCGATCGCATTGTTTCGCTCTTACCTTTTCACAGTACATTTCCAGCCAACCTCCTTTTCTGCTCCATGCATATATACGTCTAACTGGTTTACTTGTGTGTGTGTGTTTCCGTGTACCTGCCGCCGCCTAACAGATGGGGACCAAGTCTCGCCAGAGAAAGGTAATTCTTCTTTTTCCTCTCTTTTTTCATACACGTTTCTCCCTTTTCTCTTTGTATCGTTTCGAATCGCACGATAGCATGCGTCCGTTTTTACATCGTTTTTTCACTATCGTATCGTCGTTCACACACGACTTTTTCTTTCTTTTGCTTTTTTTTTCTCTATTGATGCGCGTTGGATTCGAACGATCGTTTCATAAAAAAAGAAAAAAAAAAGAAAATACGCGGACGAAAGACAGGCAAAAGCAGAGAAAGGACAATGCTTTGGTGATCTGACAGATTTCGTTTGGTTGTTTCAGTCGCCTCTTCCGCGCGGGTACCCACCTCCCTCTTCGACGATGTTATTCGATGACGACCCGGGCATCATGTCCGAGGTGGAGACATCGAGCACTGGATTTCGACGGGGTGGTAAGCAAAGAAGCAGCCTCCCCGTCGTACGGACCCCCAGCAAAACTCTGGAGCGACCACTAGGTAACGATCGACCCGCGATAGAATTAGGAGCGTCTTGTTGCTGCCTCGCTGCTCGATGCCCTTGTCGGACATTCCTGACGAAACGATGCGTTTCTGTGGACGATTCCTTAGGTCTAGTGTTCCTGCAGTATAGAAACGAGACGAAGCGGGCGCTCCTACCCAACGAAATCACTAGCATAGACACCGTTAAGGCTCTCTTCGTCAGAAGTTTTCCCAAACAACTCACTATGGAATATCTAGACAGTCCTCACGTCAAGGTTTACATACACGATAGCAACAAGGACATGTTCTACGAACTCGAAGATCTCAGGTACTTGACTGTACATATCGGCCAGAGCGACTACAGAAGGATGGACTAGACGGTGATCGTCTGACGAGAAATTTCACCAGGTCGTTTCGAGTAAATGCAAATTTCGACCAGCAACGAGTCTATGTTTCTCGCGTATGAACACAAACGCTTGATCGTGTGGCTTAGTAATGTCTAGTAGCGTTCAGTCGACGACCACCGAATTCGACTTTTTATATTCTTTAACCGTCTGACGCTTCCTGTCAGTTTCAGACCGCTTTTAGTCGACCAACAAGCTAGTTCGTCAAATTTCCACCTGTACAAAGCGATTTACCAAAATCTACTCGCTAGTAGATCACTTAAACCTGGTCGATCCGTTTGTAGTTGCGCTTATTCGATACTGTCAAAGATATTTCAACAAGAACATTGAAATTTCTTGATTTTCATTTTCGCGGTACACATTTATGTCTCTGGCGTAGACACACGAGGACGATTGAATTTGGAAAAGAAAAGATCAAAGGTAATTTTTGTAATGGGATATATATCAGCATTTGTAACGAGATTCAATGTCCAAATTGGTTTCGATGGTGTCAAAGAAATTATAACAACCTATCAATGTTCTGTTGTTTCATTAGTCTGGGAAACGCAAACAATCTATATATTCTACATTAAACGCAACAAAAATCTTATCAATTACACATGATACGATTATTTTTGCATTACCTTTGCATATCTGATCTTTGCATCGCCGATGAATTTTCACATTTATCATGGAATTTATACTGCATACATTCTATGTACGATTTCACAGACCAAATTCAGATTTTCCACTAGTGTTGTAACCATAACGGAGAACTATAACAGAAGTGTTCACTTTTCTGCACGTCGATCGAGAATTTCCGTACCGGAGTACCATAGCCGTATCGAAAGGTTCTCGTCTGGATTTCAGATCGCATCTGAGGGACATCCGAGACCGCAGCGTCTTGCGACTGTTCGAGAGCACTGACGGTGTGACAGGGATGCCAGGACCTTTGGGGATACCGGGAACAGGAACAGGACTACCTCCTCACTGGGAAGACCAGAGCTATTTCAGCGAGCCGGAATTCGACAGCGAATATCAGCATCAGCATATTCACAAAAGCAAGGTAATCAGCTTTCGAACGTCTGCAAAATGTATAGCTTCGCTTCGTCGTTCCTCTTCGGGAACACGCAAAAGCTTCTCGCACTGTCGATTTCCGTAATACGTAACACCGACGCTTAAATTTTATACGTATTCGCATTAGGCAACGATCCATCACGACGTCGATCGAGTTGAAAATTCACTTTTGAATTCCGTATATGGTATTCGATGACGTGATAGAAGAAAAAGCTCTAACGCGGCAAACGGCCAATGACAAACACAGGTTTTACAGTGAACGTTTTATTCATCTTAAACTCTAACAACTTCGCACGTTGATTTTAATCGTATCTCTCTTTAAATACTTCCGAGTATGTGGCCGATCGACGACATTCGGTTCACATCAGAAGTGTTTCTTCGATCGACGATTTCTTCGATCAACGACGCGTTAAACGTCGCAAGCCGCAACTTGCAACTCTGACTAACCTAGACACGAGCCCGCGTCAAGAATTAACCCAACGACGGAGCTGCTATCGGAGATCCAGCGGAGCATAACTTAGGGTAAAAACATAGCGAGCAGATTTGGGTGGCGTTGTAGCCGACTATTCAGCCGACTGTTGAGTCAGACGGAGGATAGACAAAGCCGCTAAGCAACTCAGTCAGCCGAATAGTCTGCTGCGGCACCGCCACTTACACCTGCTCGCTACTTTTTTACGTTTAGCTTAGCATAGTTTTAGCTTCGCGATGGATTCCCTTAATAATAAATACGTCTCCGTATGCGATCGGAGTGACTCTGTGTAATCAATATCCGCCCGCGGCTATCGTTTCTATCCGCAACGCTTGTAATCGCGTAATCGAGCTAACGTGTTCGAGATCCGTTGGCCTCGGGTTCACGGCACGTAGAAGAGATCCTGTGTCAGCGATAGCGGTCGGCTACCGAGACGCGATAACCATAAATCTCTGGTCTAGTCGTGGTCGATGCCGCGAATGGACCCGAGCGGACCCGAGTTCGCCGAGTCTCGTCTCCTGTTTCCGTCGAAAACGCCTTGTTGACACTTTGATGGCGTGAAACGTTGGCGATTGCAACGGCGTACGAATAGCGGGAAAATGATGGCAAAATGAAACGCACGAAACACGCGTTCGCGGAACGCGGAGAAAAGATAGAGACGTGGCAAAATATTGGAAAAACGTATGTTCAAAGGGAATAAGAAACTATAGAACGAAATGCCAACGACGAAACGCTCCATCGTGAAAGTGTTTAAAACGCTTTGCACATTGACGCGGCTGGGATGTGCACCGCGCCGGAGTACAGTTTCTTAGGCACGGACCTCCAACCAAAGACGAGAGCTTTGGCGAAAGGTTCCTCGCTACAACCGTCGCAGACGTCCATGATGGTTCTGACTTCACCTTCTGCTGGTTCCCTTTCGTCGTCCTTGTTTTCGTATTTTGGTAGTTGCAGACCGAAGTTGGTCAGGCCTGCGAAATAATTGTTGTCTAGGCCTTGACTAATGTAACCGTCGTCGACGATCAGACCGTCGCCCAGTTGCACCAGGCCTCGTTTCTTCTTCGTCGAGTCACGTTTTTCCAACTTCCTGTCTTTCGCAGACTCCGCGTCTTCTCTTGGCACGAACGTTACCTGAAAACAGAATTCAGCGTCGTCGATGATCTTCCCAGTGCTTAGTCGACCCTGTATTCCCTTACAGCGTTCAAACTACGAATGTTTCTAATTTACAATCGTTTTTAATACGGAGGATCGAAAGAGGCAAACGTCACAACCTGAGTTCCATGAAAATCGTAGCTCGTTGCTATGGGGAACACCCTGTACAAACGGCCTTAGTCGAGTCTCCTTGCGCGCGCAACGAAATTTCATAAATTTCGCGCGAATGACACGCACGATACGATAGCAAGTGCTCAGCCATTTTCGCCGACCACTTCATCCAAAATCTAATTATCGTAATAATTGTAATGTGCGTTCCAATGGACTCTTACCTTCCCGTCGGAAGGTTTTCCCTCTGAAACTGCCTCTTCGTCGATCTGCCTCTTCGCCACGCTGGACGCTTGCTCAGCGCTCGAGTCCGACTCGTTGCTCTTGGCTTCAACAGCCGACGAATCCTTCTCTCTCTTGAAGAGATTGTGGTACGAGCTGGCTCCCACGTCGGTTGTTTCGCTCGCCGGAGGCAAACTAACGCTAGAGCGTAGGTTGCCGAAGAACTGGCTGGATTGCAGAGGGAACGCTGCGGAGACGGAATTGGGATTCGCAGGAGGAAAGGGCTGAGGTGCTGGATCGCGGGGAATCACCGCAGGATGCCTCAGGGTGACGCCTCCTTGAACGATTTGCAGCGGCGACCCTGGATTGATTTTTACCTGAAATTCAACGAGGTCAGCGTGTTCTGCGATGCTCTTTGAAGCATAAATTTCCATAGATTGGATTTTAACGGTTTTAACGCGGCAGCAACGATAATTCGTGTGCATCGAGCAAGGAAATTGAACGAATCTAGCGACAGTCGCTTAAATTCAGGCGATGCAGCTGTATCGGAATTTCCCTGGCAAATAAAGCGAGCGCTACTGTATACCGTGACGTGGGTCAAACCTGATGATTGATTTGTCCAGCAGTGAGGTAGGGATGTTGCGGAAGGGGTCGGCCTGTTACGGGAGGACGCGTAGGTCTGGGCGTGTTGTTGGTGGTGTCGTGCTCGTAGTGATGGCCGTGATGGTGTTTGTGATCCTTGTGGGCTTTGCCGGCCGTCAGCGCGACCTCGTACAGCTGCACCATTGTTATTTCACCCACAAGACCGCCGGATCCTGAGCAAATGTGTTTCGTTAGAACAACCTTAGGAATGTAACGCGTATTACCGCCGTGTACGAGGAAAGTCGATGAAACGCTTTGGCACTGATATTTCAACCTCTTCAAAACATGGTATAATGTACACTGTTGTAAGTGAAAGTATCTCTACGCTCTCAAATTATAGCAAATACGTGAAACACTCTTCTTCGTGAAGCTCTGTGATACAATTTTCGTGCCTGATTTTAGTTGCTAAATACGATAGATGTTATGCAGGGTAGCGTAAATGAATAAAAATTCATGGTCTGTACACGGAAAATGACATAGCACTACAGCCATAGTTGCCTTGGTTTTACGACGATTTGCGAATTCTCACCTGGAGGAGCGCCATCGCCTTCCAAAAAGCCGCCGCCCAGCTGTCGTTGCTCCTGTCCAGTGATCGCAATTCCACCCCCTTTGATGACGTGGCCGACCAACTAACGAGTCGAGAAGAAAGACAAGCGAGCGAATTAAGGTCACGCTGAATTAGCTGCAGGGTCTGTTTGTTAATCGCGCGTTACGTCGGAGAGCACCGGTTTTAATTTGCATCTGACAAACGAGTCGCGAATTGCCATTATAAACTCTGCGTTTAAGCGCATCACGAGATGGACAGTTTTTTGTCACGTCCACTTTCTTGCTGCACTGAAAATATTTCCATTATTCAGCGCGCTTTAATCTACACTGACACAGTCAAAAGCGAGTACAGATACAGTTTCTATCAACTGCATTTGTACGAACGAAATCTTGCCAGCGTCCGATTAACTGATCTTTAGCTGAGCGCCGATCAACCTACGCGAACTCAGAAGGGACACGCGTCATGTAACGCACATTCTCGCGGTCGATACAGATTTGCAACGTTATCGTGCGTCCAAGAGCGAATATTCCACGTTTCGTGGAATTTTTTTGAACGAACTTGTCAGCTTTTATCGACTGAACAAAAGTCACAGATGAGAAGAATAGAGAAATAGGTGAATTCTTATGATATTGGCTTGACAACTAAGTGATTGCGGATTTTGTCAATAGGTGGTGCTGTACGCAAATTCGTACAGAGGCAGTTGTTTCAGAAGCTTCTACACGTACGTTGGACAAATGGAAAATCGGTGGGGATGGAATAAATAACGCGAAAAACGTAAATCTGTAAAGCGTCTATTCACTGTATTTGATCGGTAGCGAATGCGCGCGGAAAATACGAAACGCAAAACCTTCTATATCTCGAGGCGAAGTAAAATTCCTTTCACCGCGCATTCTCTACTTCGATTATGCTTATCCGCTTATCGCTTCGAGCGAAGCCGCCGCCCGCTCCTTCCTCGATATTCACCGGAACGAATAACAGAGTTTCCTGCCGAATGGGTTCGGCTATTTGGGTAAACTCGTACGGAGAAAATCGAAGCCGTGTACGGTTATCGTAGAATCTGCAGAAATATATCCGCGTTGTATATTTTAGACGATTTATAATATAAGTAAGTGCACGTGAAAGTGTAGGAAATTTTGAAATATTTTCCGTACATTTCCTGCTAGTCAACCTAACTATCTGGGTACTTTTGAACGATAGCGTGAAACGACTTTCGCGTGAAATAGAATCGCGTTGACAAGACGAAGAGAGGGGAAGATAGCGAGCGCACGGAAACTCGCGGAAATTCGCACTCGTCCGCAAAAATTCTTCCCGCGATTTGCATCGCGTTGAACGAGACCAGCGAAGAGAGAAAAATTACGCAAGAGAATTCGCACGAATGCCAAGGAGAAATGGCAGCGTGGAATCGACCTAGAACCGGACGCGATTTCCTCCGGTGGAAGAGGAGTACCGCTGCCAAAGATCGCTTTCTACTCGAGTTCCGAGTCACGGTATACCGCCTGCATGATCCACTTTCGAGAATTCATGGCGAAAACTATAAACACACAGCCAGACCCTGGCATTGCTCGTTTATAGAAATCGCGCGCGTGCCTTGCTTTCGTAACGTAAAAGTGCATTATACTATAGAAATTTCATGCACATGTAAGTCCATAAATATCCCGACACTTACGTGTTTGCGAATTCCGTACGAACATCTTGAGAATTTATTACCTTGTTCTACATCGTACCGACGTTATTTTTGGACTATATCGGGCGATATTATGTACAAATAATAAACGATAAAATTGTTGTAAAGATAGGTAAGCTGAAACGTGTACGTGTACGTATAGGATACGAAGATGTCGAGATGATAAAAATTTTGTTTCCATAGTACAATCTGTTACGACCGTTCGCGAAGAGTAAATTCTCGCTACGATTCTGATAGCCGACGCCGTGAACCAGCCGTTCCCCTGTTTCAATTAGGATAACAGAGGTAGTCCAAATGATTGTAACACTGAATTAACAGGGTTAATATAAGCTACTATTTTAAACAATGTTTAAAATTATAATTAACACGTTGCAAATGATTCAACGATGATACAACTAGTTTATTATTATAATTCGACTCGACTTTATGATATTTCTCGACGTGTTCGTTTGACTAAGCGATCTTGATTTTATTTCTCTGAACCTCTCGATGCATTTGGTTTGAATCCCCATGTGATACTGACTGCCCTTCGATTTTCTCCTTTGCCTTCTCTTAGAGACGACCCCCACCACGCTCGGGTCTCGCAACCGTTCGAGCCTATGATCACGTATACCACCTTCTTTGTGTAGGTAAAATAACGGACCGAAGGCGAATCGATGTTTTTTAGAATTCGCTGCTTGACCACAACTATGCGCTTATCGCTACATTGTGTATATTTCGCCTGTCATGTAAGACGATCTGTCTACGACACTATAGTACCAAGGGAGACGGTTAGGAACACGGCCTATAGTAAACCTCGAGGCGTAGCACAATCCATTTATATGTTTCATAAAGGATATAACCTAACAAACACGAAGATGGTACCACGCTGAGGGTAGCCATCCACGTGATAATCAAACAGCTAAAAAATTCTACCAAATGTCCAAATTGGACAAATTGTGAATGTGAAATATTAAATAAAAAAAAAAAATAATATGTTGATACGTGTTCACCTATGGAACTTTACAATAATTATATCGATATTATTTGTCTTTGATAACGTCAATACATAAAACAACACAACAAATTCATGCAAGTGTCCGGATATTTGCGTATGTGTCTTTTTCTGTCGTTAGAATCTGGTCTGGTTACGTACAAGCAATAGCACGTGCAAAGCTTCCTTGTAAAGAAATCAAAAAATAAGAAATCGAGGAAACGTAGAATAGAATCGTCCCGGCCGAGGTTTTATCTTCGAAAAAATCG